CAAGTGTTAATCCCATTTAAAAGTTCCAAGGATGAGTGGTATCTCTAAGGTAGAGAATTCAAAAAAGAAAAAGAAAAAAATATCTTAAATGACAATTTAAGAAAGGTTTTCTGACATAAAGAACTGAATCTGCAAAGCAAAAGGACACTGTATGTTTCAGCAAAAAACTGAGACAGAACAAGCAACACCCAAGATATATCCTAGTTAAGTTACCAAACTCAAGGATAAAGAAAGACTTTTTTCTAGTATCTAAGCAGAAAAATCAAATCACGTATGGCAGAGTGGTTGCAAGGCGGGCAGGAATGAAAATCAGGTTGGTCTCAGACATCCCAGAGCAACAATCAATGTCATAAAAAATAATAACACATATGTACCAACTTCTGAGGAAAATAAAATATGACCTGACAATTTTATACCCACCCTATGTATCATACACGTATAAGGCAACAAGCAGTCATTTCCAAACATGATGATATCTAGGATTCTAGACCCCAAAGACTCTTCTTAAATAAACTATTTGACAATCAATCTAGCCAATCAAGCAATGGATCATAAGAAGAGAAGATAGAAAAAGAAATAAGAAGAGAAGATAGAAAAAGCAATGAATTTATGGTGATAGAAAAATTATAGGAGTTTTAGAAATTTTGACAATGTAAAAATATAACTTACAAAACTGGGACCTTAAAGACAAGATGTAGCCCTGACCGGTTTGGCTCAGCAGTTAGAGCACCAGCCTGCGGACCGGAGACCCAGGTTCGGCTCCCGCTAAGGGCACGTACCTTGGTTGCAGTTTGTCCCTGGCCCTGATTGGGGTCGTGTGGGTGTCAACTACTCAAAGTGTCCCTCTCACATGGATGTTTCTCTCTTCTTCCCTCTGTCCCTCTCACTCTATCTGAAGATAAGTGCAAAAATGTCCTCGGGTGAAGATAAAAAAAAGACAGGATATGGAGAAAGAATAATACTTTCAAAGCAGAGATTCAATCAGTACTGTCCAAAATTAGAATCTAAACAATATGTTCCTTATATAAATTTAGGATTTTTATTAAAAGAATGTTTTCCATAAACCTAACACTAAAATTCAGGGAGAAGTAAATGAAGAAGTAAATGCAGTCGAGAGGTCACATATTATTGGAAAGATTACTGAACTGGAACTTGTTAACTGCAAAGGTTCCATTTAATGCTAAGTTTCTAAGATCACATAATTTCCCCTAAATAAAAAATCTTTGCTATAAGGAAATCCCTGCTTTCCACTGTATCAAGTATAGACTTCTTTATGTGGCTTTCAAGGAGTACCAAAATATGACCCTAAACAGCAACTAGTCTTATCTAATTAGGCTAATCTGCTCACTGTCCCCAAATATGTTTATTCAGCTTTCATGTTTAAACTCCTACTTGAGATATCTTCTAAATAAACAGGCAATTTGGACGCTACAAATTTAAAGCCTATTTCTTCCTCAATACTTATTAATAAGATATGTATGCATAACCAGTGTACACAGACAACAGTGCAGTGAAGGGAGTTGGGTGGGAGTGGGGGGAGGGGGTCAGTGGGGGGAAAAAAGAAGGGACTTCTATAATACTTTCAACAACAAAGATAATTTTTTTAAAACTATGTAAATCTAATCTAGCTAAAAAGTCCATTTGCTGCATAATATTCTTCCTAAAATCTTAGAATTTAACTAAGATGTTTTTTGAGCCTGGCAGGTGTGGTTCAGTGGTTGAGCATTGACCCAAGCACTAAGAGGTCGCTGGTTCAATTCCTAGTCAGGGCACATGCCCAGGTTGTGGGGGCATGAAGGAGGCAGCCAATCGATGTTCTCTCTCATTGATGTTTCTATCACTCTCTTCCTCTCCCTTCTTTTCTCTCTAAAATCAATAAAGAAAAAATATTTTTTTAAAAAAGATAATTCTTCGAGATTCCAAGAGCAATCACAGACCTTTCAATATAAAAACTGAACTCGAAATTTTTTATTTATTTATGTTTATCGTCATCCGAGGACATTTTTTTCCATTTTTTGCACAGACAGAGTGGGAGGGAGAGAGAGGAAGAGAGAGAGAGAGAGAAACATCGATATGAAAGGGACACATCGAGTGGCTGCCACTTGTATGACCACCAGGGCCGGGGACAAACTGCAACCGAAGTACGGGCCCTTAGCGGGAACCGAACCTGGGTCTCTCTGGACCACAGGCCGATGCTCTAACCGCTGAGCCAAACCGGCCAGGGCTAAATGGGTTTTTTTTTTACAATGGGGTAAAGATAAGTTTATTCAATGAATGTTGTTGCAAATATTGGATAGATATGTGGGGAAAAAATGAAAGTAGACCACCTTCTTACAGTGTTCAAAAGAATAAACTCAAAAGCAATTAAAAAAATTTTTTTTTAATCCTCACCCGAGGATATTTTTCCATTTTTTGTGCAGATAGAGTGGGATGAGAGAGGAAGGGAGAGAGAGAGGGAAACATCGACGTGAAGGGACACATCGAGTGGCTGCCACCCGCACAACCAACCAGGGCCGGGGACAAACTGCAACCGAAGTACGTGCCTTAGCGGGAACCGAACCCGGGTCTCTCCGGACCGCAGGCCGACGCTCTAACCGCTGAGCCAAACTGGCTAGGGCTAAAATTTTTGTTTTATTTTTTCAATTTAATTAATTTATTTTTGTTACAGATGTTTCTCCTTTTTCCCCCATTGACACCCTCCTCCCCGTCCTTGCCCGCCCCCCCAGCTAAATTAATATTGCTTTGTAAATTATATTAGTCTTAACTAAAAATAAACTTAAAATATAAAAATTAGAAAATATGTTGTATATAATTAATTATAAAAAAGATAATGAAAGAGGTCCAAATGTCATTTGAAGTATGTTCTTAAACCTTTGATATTTCATATTTTTAAAAGAAAATTTATATATACAGAGTGCTGTTTACTGATTTAATGCTAATTTTTATTTATTCCCAAAAATAACTTTATAATATAGAATCATCCACAAAAGAACTGTGAGCACATTCAGAAACTAGAAACTATAAAAATGAAATTATTTTTAAAAACTATTGTGCCAGTAAAAATCAATTTATGAAACTTCATAGATGTATCATAGAAACATATTCATCAAAATCCTATTTTAACAACACAAAACTACATCTGCAAGTAAGCAGCTAACGCTTTTCTATTTATTTTTTCTCTCAACCATGATTAAAATGTTTATATTCTTTGAATATTCCAACATACTCAGAATGCCAGGTGCAGGTCTGGATTTCTCCCTTAGTAGTGATTATAAAGTCTAAAATTATTGTTAACTGACTCCTGGAGTAAGACCTAAAACTTTGTTAATAAACGCTTAATACCTAATGTTACATTTACAATAATGAGAAAGAACTGTATTTCTACCACAAGATGGAGATAAAGTAGATGTATTTGCATATTTCTAAAATATATCTATTTTTATTAAAACATTTGATAGCACTTAGCTCAGTCAGAAATATATGCTAATCTTTAAGATAAATAGGTAAAAGGACTTCATATGTGATCAGTTTCAATTACAGTTATTTCCAAAAATATTATTTTGATAAAAGAGAAGAAACTGTTTTCATGTTTCAGTTCATTTTACAGAGGGAACTACTAGAATTAAGATTTTTGTTTTACACTTAAAAAGACGATGCATGCCTCTGTACCGGTGCTGTCCAACAGTACTTTCTGCAGTGATGGAAATGGTCAATGTCTGCATTATCCAATATTGTAGCCGTAGACCACATGTAGCTATCCAGCATTTGAAATGTAGCCAGTGCTACTGAGAAACATTAAGTGACTAATATGCCTAAGTGACTACTACACAGGTCAGTACAAATTTATATAATAGCCAATTTAATATTTTAATATACATCAAAATCCAATAGGGGTTTTCAGAAGTTAAAATAATTAATAGATAAAACCCGAACTTTAAAAATAAGATAATTAGCCCAGCCGGTGTGGCTCAGTGGTTGAGCATTGACCCATGCACTGAGAGGTCGCTGGTTCGATTCCCGGTCAGGGCATATGCCCAGGTTGTGGGCCAAACCTCCAGTGGGGGGCATGCAGGAGGCAGCCAATCGATGTTCTCTCTCATCGATGTTTCTATCTCTTTCCTTCTCCCTTCCTCTCTCTCTAAATTCAATAAAGAAAAAAAATCAAAATAAATAAATAAAAATAAGATAATTACAAATGGATGATAAAAAAATATATAGGTTCTGACAATTTTAAGAGGTTTTTCCATAACAATGAGAAAATAAATGGAAAAGTTCAATATAATTATAGAGGTAAAAAAACATAATAAAGTAAAATAAATAAAGCATCCTTCAGAGGGAATAAAAGAGCATTATTAAAATACAGACACAAATCACACAAATCTTTTAAAAATAGTATCAAATAAACAGGTAAATTTTCATATTTGATACTGAAATGTGCTCAAATATTCAAAACATTTAAATATTTGCACACAAAATAAACTCCATATTTACCATTTACTAAAGTCTAAGTTTAAAGTTTTTGATAAGAAAAAGAAACTGTTCCCTCTTACCAAACAGTAAGAGTCTAATGCTACAATTACAAAGTAGGGCACTTTAGCCCAGACACAGATTCCAACAGGAATCACCTGGATCTCAAGCAATGCAAAGCTGGGTACCATTCAGGCTAGAGAGCCACCAGCTGATGTGTTTCAAACTAGAAGTATTCTCACCAATCCAGACAAAGAAGCCAATCAAAGGTGCGCTAAAACCAAAAGAAAAAAATGCATGATCACATCCTGAAAGCAACAAGATTCATGATTAAAATTACATCACTAAGATCTGCACTGAGTTTTGGCAGAAGAGGGAAGGGAGCTGACATAAAAGGACTGTACAGAGATGACACTGAGGAGACAAGAGTGCTAGAAAAGAATCTGTAGATTGGTCACCAAGTAATTCTTGAAAATATGTTAATGGTTTGATTATTCTGGCACAGGTGCTCTGACTTGAAAAACAAACCCCAAACCCCAAAAAGGATGTTTAATTAACCTGTGCATAGGTGGCAAAAGTGGAATGTTCTCATTTGCAATAAATAGTCAAAAACAGCTTGCTATTGGCAAGTCTCACTCTAACAGAAAATGAAAAATAGAGCTCCTCTATTCAGCAGATCTACCCCTCCCAGAAAAGATCTCATTAAATTACCTCTACATGTGCTGTGTTAAAACTGAACCCCTAGAGGGCAACTGAGCTTCAATTTTCACTTCATAATATACTTCAGTTCCTAACCAGTTTATAGATGCCATGACTTACTTCCTCAGACCTTGCAACTTTTCCTTCAAAACAAAAGGGAAATAAATGAAAAGAAGAAAGTTGAGATATTCTACCCACTAATAAAAAAGTATCATTATGGAATGTAGTCTTTAACAATGATAATTCAAAGATCAAAGATATCCTACAGGCATATTCCTGAATAACACATAAAATAAATGAATATTTGAATATTAACACTCTCAGTGAGACCATGTAGCAGATAGGAAAGACATACTTAATGAGTCTATTTAATATAAATGCTTTGCATAACTTTACATTTATTAAATGACATGTTAAAATGTACAGGGCAAAAAGGTGAAGAAGCTGATCTCAATAACAATTAACCCTATATAAACTACCCAACATAACTTACTATAAGAAAACCAATATTCTTTCAAGGTCAAAAACATGAAAAGGTTTCCTGATTGTCCATCTAAGGTAACTCTAAATCATGAAGTAGAAATGCTGATATTCAATTAGGCCCACTCAAAATACTGAAGTAGCAAAAACAAAGTTATTATATCAATGTTAGCTAGGCCACTAGCCTATACAACTCAACAAAGGCATATTTAAATCAGCATTTCTTAGTGAAACTCAAAAAGTGAGTATACACAAGCCTAATGTGTATACACCACTAGAGCAGCACAATAGAATAAGCTGAGAATTTACCTGGATGATATACAAGATTGTAATAATAAATTAAATTTGATAACTCATGTGGTTTTCTTTTTATCTAAATAAGATTTCTAAAGGATCAACTCTCATATTTGTATATATATACTCTGTAATATGTACTCGCTAACTGGAACAAAATTTTAACTCAACTCATAAACAGTTTTTGCGTATCACCAAGTGGCTCTTATCTACTGTGCTCAGCGCCAGAACCACCACCTTGGTGGGGGTGAGCAGAGAATACATGCACATGCTGGTTAAAGACTTTTCTCCACATCATAGTAATTTTCTTCACTAAACGTGTAAACTAATTATTCACATTACATCCTGTGGACTCAGGGATCTATAACAATCACAAACCAACCTCTGTTCCTTTAGATTAGAATCTACACATGAAACCTGACAAACCAAAGCATGCGATGATGGAACACAGAAGAAAAAGGCTACTGAGGAGGGTGAAGCTGTGTGCCACCGGGATGCCAATGTTCAGAACAGGAGAAGGGAAAGGAAGTAGTCATATAATTTACAGGGGAAGAAAAGAGGTCAAGGTTTAAGACTTTAAGAGCATACTTAGGTTCATTATTTCTTGAGAGTTTGCTAAGAATCTTTGGCCCAGTGGAAAGAAACTTGAAGGCTGACATCAATAATTGGGGCTCAACTTCCAAGGTAAAAGTAAGAAAAATAAAGTTTCAAGAAATAGAAAACACATAAAAACTAAGAATAGCAACAACAACAAAACAACCAAAAACGTATAGTTTATACGAAAAAGAGTATTCCAGATAGTTAAATATGTCGCTTTAAAATACACAAAATGATTAAGTACAAACTTCAAGTTATAAAATAAATAAGTTCTGGGGATGTAATGTACAGGACAGGGACTACAGTCAATAATATAATAACTTTGTACAGTGGCAGAACCTGGTTACTAGACTTAACCACAGTGATCACTTCGTAAAATGTATTAAGTGTCAAATCACTATGTTGTACACCTGAAACTAATGTAATCAAGTATTGTCAGCTATACCTCAGTTAAAAAAACAAGATACACAAAATGCTCTGGGGACAGGAGTAAAATCCATATGACCTGTTACTATGAGCTGTTTTAAGGGACAATTTTGCATCTTTGGCTAACCCCTCATTTCTCAAACCGTGGACACATATTCATCAAATCACCTTGGGAGCTTATGAAAAAAACAAACAAACAAAAATAATAATGCCTTTCTTTGCGGAGAGGAGCCTGTTCATTGGTATTTGTAAAAAGATCCCCAGATAATCCTGATGCATAGCAAGGGCTGAGGACCACTGATCCAGCCTATGTGTAAGAGATGAAAATCGAATGCACTCCAATCATAATGGCAGAGTAGAGGTTCTACTATAAAAATACTATTTGAATCTCATCATCTGAATAGATCTGACCAGGGAAAATGTGGGAGAAAATGGTAATATGGAAGACAGTGCATGAAGTCTTTATCACTGAGCACTGAGTAAATAGGTCCACTTTGAAAATCATGGGGTACTAACAAAACTAAATAGTTCCTTAATAAATCAGCCATATGTAAGTTGAACATACTGGTCTCCAGAGCCAAAATAAAAGAGAAACAAATAGGTCCAATTTTTCACATTAGCCCATCAAAAAGTATGTTTAGTCAAATCTTCAATATGATCAGAAATTTAAATTTTTTAGAAGTTTAAAGTTTATGACCTAGACATAAAATAAATCTATGGGTGATATGAAAGGCAAAGAACAGGATGCAACATATCTTACATTTCAATTCATACCGGATAACTGACACAATCTAGTGTTCAGTGACTGTCTAGCACCCTTTAAAGTGAGTATCACATTTCCAAATATAGTCTTGACTCTTCTTCTAGTATAGTCTAGAGTTTATTCTGTCTATTTGAGTGATGAGAAAGGTAATCAAGGGCTATAACTGCATCAATCTGTACTGAGTTGGAAAAGAATTGCTCCTATTAACCCAATAGAGGCATCCTCCACCACAATAAAGGAAAAGTCAGAATGGAAATGAAATCACCTGAGCTCAAGGATCCACTAGGGCCAGGTCTAGAAAGACAACTAAGAGTGAGACTACATGTTTTTCAAAGGGAACTAGATTCTAATCATGTATTTGATATTAACCCATCATTTGACCTGAGGTTAATTAATTACCAAACTTCTTATATAAAGAACGTTAGAAAAGAAGATACACTCAAATTCTATGCAAGACTTGCTTCTTGCACCACCTCACTGACTAGGGAGATATGTGTGGGGCTGAACTACAGAAATACTAGGTAATGAACATATTGAAGTTCAGAAAGTCAAGAGGAAGCTAAACTTGTATGTGATTGGAAACCTTGTATAAAGTGTCCTAGTAAGGCAAATCCAGTAAGATTTTCTCAAGTTTTGCTAGTAGAGATATTTAAAGTAAGTCAAGAGGTGTAATAATATGGATTCAGAGTTAAATTTGTACTGTGTTTTTTAGTTTGGTCATCATTAGAACCGGTTTTAAGGTTTTGGTGAAGAATCAAAAGCATAAAAAATGTCAATGTAAATAGATTCTTCATTCATGCATTTGAAAGGCATGAGGACGGTATTATATTAAAATGCAGAGCAGAACTACGGGTGTTGATTTGGGGGGGGCACCCTGACACTGTACTTTCAGATTATGTAAGCAGAGGTCAACTATCATTAAATTAAGAGAATAAACAATACATTACTGTTAAGCTATTTAGCCATTCTTAGACCACAGGTTTTTCTTTAGCTTCGGGAACTTAAAATAAAATGTGAGATTTAAAAATCTGACTAACCAGTTTCTCTAGAAAAGATAGTAATACATGCCTAAGGACACCTGTAAAAATGAAAAACACTGTCAGTTAACCATGTAGAAATACTATAGTGCAGTCAATGCTCATCCTTACACAGCAGCATGACACTTTCATTAATGCCAGGGTTATGATACCACAGTCTGAGATGGGTGTCCCTTTAGCTCTGGCAAACACACAGCAACAGCACTGCCTGTCACGTTCATGAACAACAGCTTCTACTTTTTAAAAAATGCAGAAAGCTAACATTTATAAATGAAAGAAGTCGATTTGTTTTGTGTTCTGTTGCAGAATTAATCTTCTTTCAATTCTATTTGCATAAAATCTTTTCCTGGGAAGACAGAGAGGACAACAGGAAAGAGGGAGGAAGAAAGGATAGACTTCAGATGCTTCTGATTTCTTACTAGAAAACAAATCTAAACTTCTGTTTCAGGTGTTTAAGGCACTCCAAAAATCAAGACTAACTCCCAGATTTTGTGTCATTATCCCCCAAATGCACCACTGGTCTCCTAAGGTCAATATCCTGACTGCTGTAATGACAAACCATGCCCACTCTCATTTCTGTGCCTTCAATCCTGAGTCTACAGTCTGAAGCTTTTCCAGCTTCCCTACACTTACCCCAAAGCCATACTTCAAAGTTCAGTTCATTGCCATGTTCTTCATTAGGTCTCACCTGAGTAAATAAGAATTCACCGGCTTTTCTTTTTTCTAAACTAACATACAGGGATTTTATTATATATTGTTTTATAAGGTATAATTCTATTTTATGTATGCTTGGTTTGTCTCTCATCAATCAAACAACAGGTTCTCAAAATCAACTCTGCCTCTGTAACACTTCTCACAATGTTGAAATATGACAGGCATGCAATAAAAATTTAATAAGCATGCTAATCAATTCTGTAAATTAAGAGAAATATTATTTTTTAAAGTTTTAAACATTTCTGAAGAAGCAAATGTCTGGTTATCTACTCAATCTTTATATCCAATGAAAAGAAACTGGTAAATTAAAAACAAAATTCTAGAAAACTTAGAAAAAAAATTTTTTTAAACCACCAAGATCTCCAATACTAAGAAACAATTTCTGTTAACAGTTTTTCATAACTCTTCCTACATAGTATTAATCATAATTTTAATTTAAGTACTATTTAATAACTGTATCCCCACCATACTGAAGTCCATATGAACAAGGGCTGAATGTGCTTCAGTCACAGAGCAGTTCTGTACAGAGCAGTTATGTGCAGTCCTTGATACATGGTTAAGTGCTCACAAAAAATTTTATGGAATTAGTTCATTTTGGTAAACCCTGCTTGTATTTTTAACCTTTAAATTAATTAAACCAGGAATCAGGAAATTTTCCAGCAAAGAGCCATATGGTAAATATACCTATACTGTCTTTGTGGGCTACATGGTCTCTGTTGCAACTACACTGTAGCAAGAAAAAGCCACGGGCGATACGTAAGTAAAGGGTATGGCTGTGCTCCAATAAAATAGAAACAGGCAGCGGGCAAGATACAATCATCAAGTTGTAGAATGCCAACCCCTCAGTGAGAAGAACAACTAGTCTCTCATATCAATAATACATTTATTATTATGGCAAATGTGTGTATATCACCATTTCCTATACCAGCGATTTTCAACTATGTTCATCTCATGGCACACATAAACTATTTACTAAAATTCTGTAGCACAACAAAAAAATGTATTTTTTGCCGATCTGACAAAAATATGGGTATAATTTTTATTCATTCACACTGAACAGCTATTGTTGTGTTGGCTGTTGTCATTTTTTTATTTGACAATCTAAGGGAAAACAGGTCAGTGCCCCTAAGTAGTCAGGTATTGTTTTAAAAATTCTTGTGGCCCACCCATGTGCCATGGCACACCAGTTAACAATCACTGTCCTATACCATAATTTTATAACTAATCAAGCTCTGTTGACATCTAAGTTTTTGGCAATATTACATATTATATATAATGCTGTGCTGAACATACTAATGCATATTTTATTGCCCATCTCTGATCATTTCCTACTAGTAGAATTGCTAAGTCAAGGGTAGCACATTTATGAATTTTTGCTATTTTTAAAAAATACTCATGAACCCCTTTCATGACATTAAGCAATATATTAAGCTATATTCCCAGCCAGCAGTATAAATACCTGCTTCTCCAAAACCTGTCAACATTATATATATTATATATTTTCTTATCCTCAAATACTTCATCAAGCACATGATTAGAGTTCTATATTTGTTTACTTTTTTATTAGCTGACATTTATATACACTGAAATAAGCCTGAAATATATCACTCAATGGAACAGAAGTATAGCGTACACATATGCAGCATAAATTAACAAAATACAGAACACTGAAATCACTCCAAAGTTCCCTTAATGTCCCTTCCCAATCAATCACTGTTCCATTCCTTCCCCGACAGTGCAACCATTGTTTGGATTGGTCTAGCTTATTCTAGAACACTGTATAAAATATTGCCTGTTCCATATAATATTTTTTAAGTATGTACTCTTTCAAATATATTTTATATTTACATTTCACTCAGAATAATAGTTTTGAGCTTCACCTTTGCTACTGTGTATAACAGTAGTTTATTAAGTTTTACAGCTGAACAGTATTTCGTTGTATGGGTATACCACAATTAGCCTATTCCATCTCCTCTTGAGAGATACCTGTACTGTTTTCAATTTTGGGCTGTTATGAAAAAGCTACTGTATGTAAAAGAAGTCAGACATAAAAGAGCACGTGCTGTTTGATTCCATTAAAATTTAAAAATCAGGCAAACTAATCTCTGCAGTTTGCGGTCAAAATGGCAGTTACTTCTTGGGAGTAAGGAAAGGACAGTAATTTGGAGGGAGAACAAAGAAGGTTGGCTCCTGGTAATTTCTTTTTTTTTTACCATTCATTCATTCATTCATTCATTTATAGAAGGGAAGGTAGGGAGGGAGAGGGGGAGAGAGAGAAAGAGAGAGAGAGAAACATCGATGTGAGAGACACACATCAATTGGTTGCCTCCTGCATGACCCTGACTGCGTCAGGGTATTGAACCTGCAACCCCCGTACGTGTTCTTGACAGAAAATCAACCCGAGACCCTTTGGTCCACAGGCTGACGCTCTAACTGCTGAGCCAATCTGGCAAGGGCACTTTGGGTCATTTCTGTTTCTTGACCTCAATAGTGGTTGCACAGATATGTTTACTCTCTCACAATTCATCAAGCTATCCCTAATTTGTGCATACAGATATAAAATGTTTATTTAAAGAAAGTGATGTTTTAGCCCTGGCCAGTTTGGCTCAGCAGTTAGAGCATTAGTCTGCGGTCCAAAGAGACCCGGGTTCGGTTCCCGCTAAGGGCACGTACGTCAGTTGCAGTTTGTCCCCAGCCCTGGTTGGTCATGCGGGTGGCAGCCACTCGATGTGTCCCTTTCACATCAATGTTTCTCTCTCTCCCTCCCACTCTATCTGAACAAAAAATGGAAAAATGTCCTCAGGTGAGGATTAAAAAAAAAAAAAAAGAAAGTGATGTTTTCATTTTGGAGCATATGAAAATTACACATAGGAAAAGAAATAATCTATGATATACCTTCTTCCTTCCCATATTTCCAGATACTCATTACTAAAGTTTGAATGTATTTCTTTTTTCCTACATATATCTGTCACTTTGTTATCATTGGGATTACACAATTTTATATCATGCTTTTTAAAAACAGCATATGAGCATGTTCACATTTTTTAATGATCCTTCATAAAATCAAGTATTAATTACTACATATTTTATTGAATGACTTTCTCATAAGATATAAGGTAATGAAAATCAAGTTAATTTCAATAAAAAATAAATATCAAAGTAGATACTATTAATTACAAATTATAAAAGAAAACATTTAAGTTCAATACATAACTCGAATTATTTGCTATGTGGGTATGACTGCATTTTTAATGAGTTAATGGTCTGTAGTTTGAGTATGTAGTTACAGACCCAAAATTTGGGGCGTGTTTCCACCATTCCCTACTTGAGAGAAGTGGCTCACTGTGCCTAAACTGTTTGTGCAAACCATATGGTTTATGCTGAACACCTGCTTTCCTTCCTGAGTCTGAAATTTTGGTACATGCTAGGCAGAAGCTGTCCGTGTGACCAACTCCCAGTAAGAACTCTGAGGACTGAGTCTCTAATGAGCTTTCCTGGTGGACAATACTTCATGCGTGTTGTCACAACTCATTGCTGGAAGAATTGAGCGCATTTCGAGTGACTCTACTGGGAGAGGACTCCCGGAAGCCTGCTCTTGGTTTCCTCTGGACTTCATCCCATGTGCCTTTTCCCTTTGCTGGTTTTTCATGTATCCTTTTGCCAGAATAAATCTTAGCCATGAGTGTAACTAAGTGCTGAGTTCTGTGTGTCCTCCTAACAAATCACCAAACCCAGAGCTGTTGAGGACCCCAGACACAGTCCAGTGTAAGTCCAAAGGGGAGAAACTCTGCCATATATATATATATATATATATATATATATATATATATATATTCATATTTCTTAGAGTACATATATAATATACACGATAGATACCATCATATTTGGTGATTTTATATATTATCCTCCTAATACATCCAAACCAGTCTTAAGATATGTTACATCTCTACTTCAGTGTTAGTTAACATTGGTGAACTGGTTAAATGGCAAAAGTATACGTGGTAATGGCACAATTCAAATAACAAATGAAATTTTTCAGCAGGTTCAAGTAACACAGTTGGAGAGAAGATTAATTATGTTGATCATTCATAGTCTCCAACTGTTTTAATAATTTTTTGATAGTTCTCTGCCTGCAAACCTTTGAAAGACTGTCCAAAGCATTCTTAATTTGATTTTCTTTTTTATTTATTCACATACCTTTAGAATTTAGCAAATGTAACATACTTCAGTTGTGTCTGTCAGAAAAGGGTAGGCATTTTATCAAGCTTCTGTGTCATTTAACTATAGCTCTTTGATGTTTCAAAGAAACAAACAATCCATGCTTCCTTGTATTTTATATAATTCCTTTGGAACTGAACCTCACCTATTGGTCAGAAGATTGAAAACACTGCAACAAAAGAAAATTAAAGAAAAGAAACATGAAAACAATGTAAAAGCAGGCCCACGGGACTGGAGTCAGTAAGCAGGAGAATAAAGCGAGGTTAAAGAAAGTTCCTGGCCACCCCTGATGACAAAGAACTTTTTTGGTCTAATCTATTATTGCAAAAGAAAAAAAAAAAGCTTCCTATTATTTTTAAAGCAAACTTCATTATTCATCATAGAGACTTCATATTAAATGCCAACTATGCAATTCAGAATAGCAAATATAATGAGGAATTTTTACAAAACACAGCGATTCAGTGACTCTCTAACAGTGGTTCTATTACCAAAAGACAAATTTATGATACTAGAATGTATACTTTACCAATAACAGGGAAAATATAAATCACTAAGTTATCAAAGTGTCAAACACATGGGAAAAGTCACAGAGTGAAGTCACCTCCAGAGGTCATCAACCACTTTCACACCACAAGTTGATAAGGAAAAGAAAGAAATGATTCCGCCACCATGCTTGGTGAAGGGGATTTCTGTTTGGGCGTTAAGTGGGAGTGGAAGGGAAACTGGCCATTCTAGAACTTTACTTCAGTTCCACTGTCAATGTTCATTGTGTTAATGTCTACCGGTGTACTTTGGTCACTTTTTTTAGTGACTCTATTCACTGCCAATAATATCCCTGGCAATAGAAAAATATGAAGTTCAATTTTCTATTTAAATCAATTGCTCAACAGCTTTTCTTTTGATGTATGCTTTATTAACAGAGTTCATAATCTTGTCAAAGTTTACTGAATAATAAGAATCAGGCTTGTCAATGCTGTATGTAATCTCTAGGTCAAGCCATCTTTACTCATGAAATCAAAGTTAACTTCCAAAAGTAAAGGTCTTGACCACTATTTTTCTCTTCAAAAAGAAAAAACAAAAAGTGTATATCTATTATAAAGGCAAAAACTTTGAAGTGGACAACAGTTCAATACAAACTGCTTAACTGTCATATAAAAGCTAACATTTTCTTATTTCAGGTTATAATTTTCTATTGAAATGGTGATGTTACTGTGACTATTAAAATTCATTGTAGAATTAGAATCATGTCATTGTAGATACAAGTTAAATTTTACTACTGGGATATATAACAAAATATTCTAAATGCTATCTGCTACTTAAGATAAATTTTAATTATATTTAAAACATAAGGTGAAATGTGCAACTCAGACTAACTCAGTGTAAAAAACCAATAGTGTATATATAGATAATGAAGGTATCATGGAAGTTGGTTAAAATTTATAATGAAGAGAGAACTAGTAAGAATATAGCAACCTGGCTGAAATTGATATTCATTAGGGTACTCTTCACATCAATAGGGAGCATTTGGACTCTGTGGTCTTTATCAGTGTCCCAGCTGGTAATGGTTGAAGGTTAATGCCTTACCCCATTCTGTTCAATTTTCTATCCTAATTAGCCCTCCAAATCTATAGCTGTGAGCACCAAGTGTCTGTGCTCAAAAGAAACTAATTAATGCTAGCAAATTAGATCAAGTCCAAAGATCCAACAGCCAAACTCTTAGTTAAATGCTCCTTGTTAATAGGAAGTGTAGCTGTCAATAACTGCTGTTGGTGACTATAATGAGGCATCTTGCTTTCATTGAAAGTGATTTCATTTCTCTTTGTCCCTGGAAAAGCTGTTCCATTCCCTTCACAAACCTAAGTTGCTGGCAGTCTGACCCAATTCTTATGATCAACTGGGTTGAAATGACATGGAAAAAAAAAATCAAACAGAAAAGCTTTCCTACATAATCATGTTTCAGGCATTTAGCAGAAAGTCAGATCACTTATTAAAATTCCTATATCTTTGTCCAAGAACTATACAATGCATAATGCTTTTACATAAAATCCTATCATTATGTAATAAAGCAAAGGTGACAAATAGTAAATAAACTACAATGGAAGTATCCTGATTCTAATTTTCATCTTATTGTTCAGTCTAAATGTAGCTATTGTTCTGCCGCTTAAGCAATACCAATGTATGTTCTTTCCTAATTCACATGGTTAAACAAGGGGAATACTAAAAATTATTCCTTTACAAAATAATCAATTTTAGATTCTAAAACACTGTTTGAACCATATGGGCTAAAAAAAATCAATATATGATTATCTATAAAAATGCAAATATTAAAAAAATCAATTGTTATAACATGTTCTAATAATTACAAGTACATTTAAAAAACCCAAATTTTAAGATGCTTTAAGTCTTTAGAAGATTTTAAATATATTAATAAAAGAGAAACTTAACCATGTCAACAGCCTAACCAACTTAACTTTTAATAAAGAAGCAAAAATTAAACATTTTTTCTGTACCATTAGTACAGAAACACAAACTAATAAATATTTGAAATTTATACTCTATTTCTTTCATTTCAAAAATCAAAAACAAAGCTTTACCATCTAAGAGTAAAAAAGTTCTAAAACCCAAAGCCACACTATCATTCTGCATTTTCATCTCAATTGTGGAAGTAAAAACTCAATCTATAATTGCGTTAGCTAACTTGCTTTCATTCTAGATATCAGAATAATGTGTCATTAGACTACATAAATCAAGTCATATTTATAACTTTACATCATTTACTTAATAAAGTAAATGTGAAAAGTTAACCCTAACCCTTTAACTTTATTGTCTATTTTTTAATTTTATCCTCCCCTACCTGAATCAGGATATTTATATATTTTTAAGTTCTATAAGGCAAGTGGAGGATTATCTCTTGAGACTATCAGCATGACACCTGCCAATGCCAGATGTGCACTGAACCCTGTCTGCAGGTGCCAATGGGTTAATTTTTCCTGACACCTGGGGGCTGGGGGTGGAAGGAAAATGCTCTGATTAAACAACTAATTCAAAGTGAAAGCAAGATAATATCACAGAATACTGATAAATTATTAGTAATTTATTAATGAATTTATTTATAAATTATTTAATATAAATCTAATTTATAAATGGATTTAAACTGGACTATGTCCTAATATGTCATGTAATTTAAGAAATAGAAATGACCATCATACAATGTCAGTTCTGAGGAACCATTCTTTTTTTCTGCCTCCATCCATTAATAACAAAGGTCATTCTTTAAGGAGATAGCATCAGAGGGACAGAAATGTTCTTAGCATCCAAAGTCCCCAAACTACAGTTGACGCAGCCTGGCTCCCTTGTAGAAAAACTGCAGTGACACTGCAGCCCATGACTCGCGCTAAAAATTATTGTGGTCCCTCAATGGAGAAGATTACAGGGCAAAATGAAGAATGGGAGCCAGAAAAACAGTCTAGGTCAACAAAATTTTACCACCATTTCTGTTAGATGGCCATTCCAAGAGGTAGATTATTTTTAAAAGACACTTTTACAGTAATGCTGCCATCTGCTTTTCTAATTACTCATCACTTATAGCCTCAGTTTTCACTTTCCACTGCTTTGCTTACATTTTTCACTGTTACATATTAAACAGTATATCTCTAGATCTATAAAATGTGGCAGTATTCTATAAAAAATATTTTAAAAGATTCTACCAAGAAAACATGTATATGTGGGTGCTTAGTGCATGCATTTACATAAATAGCTTCCATGTATAAACATAAAACATAAAAAAACAAACAAACAAAAACATAGACTCATTGTAAGTACTATTGGAATTCTATTTACAATTCAGTAAAGACAATGGCACCAAAGAAAATCACTTTATAATATATACCCAATATGTTGGTAGATGAAAAACAGGTACATTTTATTTTTATTTTTCTTCTTTCTCTATCAAAACTACAAGAATAATTTGTTTCTCCAAAATACTCATACTAAGTCTGTCTCTATATATAGCTACACTTCTGGGGGGGAAAGAGTGTGTTTTACTAATAATTTGAGAGAATATTTTTAAATTGTAAATGAATTCAATATCATCTGGAAGTTCTGAAAGCTGAAACCCTGGTATCTCAGTGAAAGGGTGAGAAACAATTCATACATATTAATTCATTGACTACTTGACTCTAAGGCTAAGGATTAAATTCAGATCATATTATAAAAAATTCATTTGATCTTTATATGAATGTTTGAATCTTACCTTGAACTTGTTCAGAACATCTCTCTCGGGCCTTTTCTCTCATTATTTTAGGAATCAAAACATCTTTTTCAACATGTCTGAGATGCTGCTCTAAAAACAAAACAAAACAAAAGAGATCTTTCTTTAATATAGTAAAATCTCAAGTAAATCACCTGTTTAGGGAAAAAGTAAGCACTCTGATTTACATAAATAAATCTATGCAAATATATTAAAAACTGTTTTACAACCTCATAAAATTGTGATTATTTTAGTCACTAACAATCAGTCCAAATTATTTTTATATACAGCAGAAAAAAATGAAACAGACATAGGGAACATCTTTCAAAAATGTCTGCAAATTATATTACAGTACTTTTATAGAGCATATTCCATGTAACTTTGTCAAAATTAAGTCACAGACTAAAAAATTATAATTTTTCTTACTAATATAATCCAAAAGAGTTTTATCTATATTAAGATCCAAGGATAAATTACTTTTATCAATAGTGAGATACAAGATTAAGAGACACACAAAGAATTTATTTAGTAATAAGAGTAGTTTAAGAAAGCCAGAACTGGCAGAAGAAGAAAAAGTGGAACTATGTGTGCATATTTTTAAAAGCCTGTGAGATTTCTGTGCATTTTAAATACAACTACCACAATTAGACTCAAGTGGTAGACAGAGCACCTGCTCCAGAGTCCTACCTGCTCCTTAAATTCCTAGAGAGGCCTGAAAGACAAAGGGAAAGTGCCCTGGCTGGGTGGCTCGGTTGGTTGGAGAATCGTCCACTCACTGAAAGGTTGCTGGTTTGATTCCTGGTCAGCGCACATGCCTGGGTTGCAGGTTTGATCCCAGGTCAAGGCGTGTGGGGAGGCAACCAATCAATATTCCTCTTACATCAATGTTTTTCTCTCTCTCCCTCCTGTCCTCTCTCTAAAAATCAATAAAAACATGTCCTTGGATAAGGATTAAGAAAAGAAGAAAAATAAATAAACAAACAAACAAACAAATCAATAAAACAAAGGGAAAGCGTCCTCAGGAAACCAAAATGATCAAGAATCTCTAAACACAAAAGGCAGATGAGATCAGATTCCATGAGTCAGCTGTTTCCCCACAGAGTTTTTTCCCAGAAAAAGACGGGTATCAAAAGTAGGTGTTGCTGCAGGCTCTGAAGCAGCAAAAATGGGGAGCAAAAGACTTTCCTTGACTTCAACACCCCACTGACATCACTGGATGGATCTTGTAGACAAAAAATTAACAAGGAAACAGACTCTAAATGATGCACTAGATCAAATGTTTTTAATAGACATCTACAGAGAATTACACCCCAAAACTGCAAAATTCACATTCTTCTCAAGTGCACATGGGACATTCTTAAAGATAGATCACATGTTAGGACACAAACTAAGTCTCTACAAGCTCAAGAAGATTGAAATCATATTAAGCATCTTCTCAGATCATAATGACATGAAATTAGAAATCAATTACAGCAAAAACATTCAAACACATGGAGGCTAAATACCATGTTATTAAACAACAAATGGGTTACCAAGGAGATCAAAGAAATTAAAAACTTCCTGGAAACCAATGAAAATGAACACACAACACAAAATCTATGGGACGCAGCAAAAGCAGTCCTGAGAGGGAAGTTCATAGCATTACAGGCCTACCTCAAGAAACAAGAAAAATTTCTAATCAACTATCTAACCTCACAAAGTAAAGAACTAAAAGCAAACAAAAACAAAACCCCAGAGCAAGTAGAAGGAAAGAAATAATAAAGATCAGAGCAGAAATACACAACATAGAGACTCAAGAAACAATTCAAAAGATCAATGAAACAAAATGTTGGTTCTGCCCTGGTTGGTTTGGCTCAGCGGTTAGAGCACCAGCCCGCTTGAAGATGTAATCAAGAATCTCCCAGCAAACAGAAGCCCAGGCCCGGTGACTTCACGGGGGGGGGGGGGGGGGGGGGTGTTACTAAACATTCAAAGATCTAACACCCATTCTCTCCTCAAACTATTCCAAAAAGTCCAAGAAGGAAGACTTCCAAACTCATTTTCTGAGACCAGCATAATTCTACTTCCAAAACCAGATAAAGACACTGTGGGAATAGAGGGATCATATCTTGACATAATAAAGGCTATATATGACAAACCTACAGCCAACATCATACTCAATGGGCAAAAACTAAAAGCATTTCCCTTAAGAACAGGAACAAGACAGGGATGCCCACTTTTGCCACTCTTATTCACATAGTACTGGAAGTCTGAGCCACAGCAGTTAGACAAGAAGGAAAAATAAAAGGGATCCAAATTGGAAAGGTGGAAGTAACACTGTCATTATTTGCAGATGACATGATATTGTACATAGAAAACCCTAAAGACTCCATCAAAAATCTACTAGCGCTAATAAATGAATTTGGTAAAGTATTAGGATACAAAATTAACATCAAGATATCGACAGCATTCTTATACACCAATAATGAACTCACAAAAAGAGAAACTAAAAAAAAAAAAAATCCCGCCCTGGCCGGTTTGACTCAGCAGTTGGAACGTCGGCCTGCGGTACAGAGAGACCCGGGTTCGGTTCCCGCTAAGGGCACGTACCTCGGTTGCAGTTTGTCCCCGGCCCTGGTTGGTCATGCGGGTGGCAGCCACTCGATGTGTCCCTTCACATCGATGTTTCTCTCTCTCTCTCTTCCTCTCTCTCCCTCCCGCTCTATCTGAACAAAAAATGGAAAAATGTCCTCGGGTGAGGATAAAAAAAAAACAAAAAAAAACTAAGATACCTAGGAATAAAGTTAACCAAAGAAATAAAGGACATGTCTCAGAAAACTACAGGACATTGAAAAAAGAAATAAAGAAAGATATAAAAAAGTGGACACATATACTTTCCTCATGAATTGGAAGAATTAACATCATTAAAATGTCCATACTACCCAAAGGAATCTATAGATTCAATGCAATCCCCATTAAAATACCAAGGACATATTTCGTGGAACTAGACCAAAACTCCAAAAGTTTATATGGAACCAACAAAGACCCCAAATAGCCACAGCAATGTTGAAAAAAAAGAACAAAGTAGGAGGGAGCACAATACCAGATATCAAGTTATACTACAAAGCCATAGTAATCAAAACAGCCTGGTACTGGCACAAGAACAGACATATAGATCAATGGAACAGAACAAAGAACCCAGAAATTGACCCAAAACATTATGCTCAATTAATACTTGACAAATGTGGCAAGAGCATAAAATGAAGTAAAGGCAGCCTCTTTAATAAATGGTGCTGGGAAAATTAAACAGCTATATATAAAAAAAAAAAAAACAAAGGTAGACCACCAACTTACACCATACACAAGAATAAACTTAAAATGGATAAAAAACTTAAATTTGACTCATGGATCCATAAAAATCCTAGAAGAAAATATAGGCAACAAAATTTCAGACATCACATGCAGCAGAATCTTCACTGATACAACACCTAAGGCAAGAGAAACAAAGGAAAAAATGAACACATGGGACTACATCAAACTAAAAAGCTTCTGCACAGCAAAATAAACAGGCATCAAAATGGAAAGGGAACCCACTGTATGGGAGAGCACAACTGCCAACGATAAGTCAGATAAGAAGCTAATTTCCAAAATATATACAGTGCTCCTACAACTCAACAAAAGGAAGACAAAGAACCCAATTAAAAAATGGGCAGAGGACCTAAAGAGATACCTCTCCAAACAGGACATACAAATGGCCAAGAAACATGAAAAAATGCTCAATGTTACTAATCATCAGAGAGATGCAAATTAAAATGACCATGAGGTATCATCTCACACCTGTCAGAATGGTCGCCATCAACAAATCATCAAACAACAAGTGCTGGCGAGGGTGTGGAGAAAAGGGGTCTCTAGTACACTGCTGGTGGGAATGCAGACTGGTGCAGCCACTATGGAAAACAATATGGTGTTTCCTCAAAATATTAAAAATTGAACTTCCATTTGAACCAGTGATCCCACTTCTGGGAATATATCCTAAGAAGCCTAAAACACCAATCAGAAAGAACCCCTATGTTCATAGCAGCACTATTTACAATTGCTAAGATCTGGAAACAGCCCAGGAATCCATCAATAGATGAGTGGATAAAAAAGCTGCGGTACATAATACACAATAGAATACCATGCAGCTGTAAGAAAGATCTCTTATCCTTTGATATGACATGGAGGGACCTAGAGTATTATGCTAAGCAAAATAAGCCAATCATAGAAAGACAAATATCACATGATCTCACTCATTTGTGGAATATAATGAACAATACAAGCTGATGAACAAAATAGACCCAGAGACATAGAAGTAGGGTACAGACTGCAAGCCTCAGAAGAAGAGGGTGGGGGGGGAGGGAAGAGATAAGCCTCAGAACCTATATGCATGTATGCGCAACCAATGGACATAAACAGCAATGCTGGGGAGCGGGGGAGGGGCAGGATCAGGAAGAGGGTGTCTATGGGGGAAAAAGTAGAAACATCTGTAACAAAAATAAATCAATAAAAATTGCAAAAAAAAAAGACTTCCCTTGAGGACACTAAAGCTTCATTGTATGAAATACCTGAGTAGAAGTCAAGTGAGTCACTTCTGCTGCTGCCTTCCAACTACGGGTAAAAGAAGTAAATAACAGCCCTGGCCAGTTTGGCTCAGCAGTTAGAGCATCAGGCCGCGGTCTAAAGAGACCCCGGGTTTGGTTCCCTCTAAGGGCAGGTACCTCGGTAGCAGTTTGTCTCCAGCCCCGACTGGGGTTGTGTGGGTGGCAGCTAGTCGATGTCTCTCTCTCACATGGATGTTTCTCTCTCTCTTCCTCCCTCTCTCCCTCTCCCTCTATGAATGCAAAAAGTGTCCTCAGGCGAGGATTTAAAAAAAAAAAAGAAGTAAATAACAGGTAATTATCCCCAAGACTTAATCAGGAAGTTTCCCAGTATTTAGTAATACCTAGGAAGACCAGGAACCCCTAACTTTTCCTCATTCTGCATGGTTCCCAACAACCTCTGGAGGAGATAGGTGTTCGCAGAGAGGGTAATAGGGTATCTCAAAAAGCAACAACAACAAAACAGTCAAGAATCAC